ACCGTTTGGACGTTATGCTATGTAACAAGCAATAAATTCCTAAGGAGATTCTTCTAACAGTGATACTTGTATAAAATTAAAATAATTATCTTATTCTAATTTGGAAAGAATCGGTTTTTTTACAAAGATCGATTCTTTCCAAAGAGATAATAACGAAAAATGTAAAGATAAAGACAGGGAGACCAGATATATTGTAGAAGATATTATATTTACAATATTACACATTATTTCTGCACATTATTTCTATACATTATTTCTGCACAAAAGAAAGAGAAGAGAGTGAATCTAGTATTATTGTGTATGCTGAAAAAGGAGAGATATATCGGTTATCCTTATTAACCGAGTGTCACATCGCCGAGGAAATCTCGGAATTTTTAATGGAAAATAATGTATTTTCCACCCATATTCAGTTTGACGTAGCTTGAGATAACTGAGATAACTGAGGGCAACTGAGTGAGATAGATAAAATCCTCTGAAATATTTCTATTCCCACGACCGAGTTTTCATTTGTTCTTCAGACAATAGGTCTGTTCGTTTTCGCTGCACCGCTGAACTAGTGCAATAAGTTGAAGCGAGACAAGTATATGTTTTTTCATTTCAACTTATTGCATTAGTTCAGCGGTGCAGCGAAAACGAACAGACCTAATAAAAAATCTAGTTACATTACGAAAATTGCTTTTTCCGCGTAGTAGTTTAGAAAGTTGAAAAATTGTCTCTCCTAAGTGAAAATAGAAAATAGAAAATAAAAGAACGTGCGTGTATTTCCCTTAATTTCTTCGTTGTGCAACAAATCAACAAAAACTAAAGAAGATTCGTGTCTCTCGCTAGGAAAGACCAAGCGTTACAACCGCGTACGCTGAAAGATGAACAGTTCTTGGTAGCCGATATGACCGACTTGTTTCAATATTTTTGCGTATATTTCCATGCCATTGCATCATTCAAACTAGAGTAACTAAAAGCAATCGACTGAATGGGAACTTCCTATTTTTCTGGAGGATCTTTCTGTTTTTACAACCGAGCTTTTGTCTAGAATTGTTTTTTCCCGTCACGGAATGCCAAGTATCTAACGGTACTCGAGGGTAGAAAAAAATTCGCTCGGACGTAACCGTAAAACAAAGACTCGTTATGTGTGTATAAGCAAGAAGGAGGCACCAGGAAAAATATTTACGGATAACTTTGCCGCGGAAATTAAGCTGCTTACCGCTGCCGAGATGTACCGTTATTATGCGCGCGTTTGTTTTGTCAGCTATCCACCTGGCGTGCGCTGCATGCTGGGAATTAGCGATTCGCGCGAATCTAGAAGGCGGACGAAGGCGATATGGTGTGCGAATCAAGTCAAGAATGTGGGAGGGATAACTGCGACGTGCGAAATCGTGAACTTTATTCGGTCGGTCTGCAATTTGCGAGTTCTTCGGGATCGCTTCCGTCGCGATCGTTCTCTCGACACTCTGCCGGACGTTCTGCTGGAAGCCGTCAAGTCCGCATCAATTAAGTTCCTAACGAGGAACATAAAAACAAACAAGAAAGCAAAGTTAACAAACACAGATCAAATATTTTATATTTCTGAGATAAATAATTCTGCAAACACTTAGTATTTACAGTCGGATCTTATTCCCAAGATCGTCTCAAGTTTATCTTCAGATATTTCGTGAAACAAAGAAACGAGTCGTACAGCATCTGAAGATAAACTCAAGACTGTTTTTGTCAAAAATGTATTGCCAACACACAGTGATATTATTCAATAATGACGCTGACCTTTCTCGAGGGATCAATAACTCGCTATTGTATATTTCTGATAGCAAATATAACAATAAAATCTGTTCTGTTGATGCGTTTTGCACGATACGTTTGCTGAATTTAACTCAATCGTTAAGTGATTTTTCAAGTTCCGACGCGCGTCATACGATGTCGACGATGTCGAAATCGTATTGATATGACGTGAATATTAAAAAAAAAATCACGTATCTCTAGTATCTTGTTCGATAATTCAAATGGAAGAGGAATCCGGACTAATAACGTCGGAATATTTTTCTAACCGATCGATTACGCCATCCAGCGGCTCGATGTCTTCGCGTGTATTCGATAACTGCTCTCGTCTCTCTTTGCAAAATGCCGCCTTTCCCCCGTCTTCAATCCGCGAAGTACGTAAAATGATATCCCATCGTCTCTCCGTTGACCGCAAATAAGCGTTTCCTGTTGTACGGTCTCCATGGAGAGTGAGAGCGGCCAATTGTCAGGTTGGGGAGCTAATTGTCCGGATAATCGTTGGCCACGTTCAATCGCCCCGACGTTGCCTCGATATTTATTTAACGAACGTTTCACCCTGCAGCGCTCGCGCGGATCACAGGTGTCCATTTATGCGCGCTGAAATTCATTTTCCGAAAAATACCAACGAACATGCGTCTTATATATTCCTCTGTGTGTTTGTCATACGCAGAGTAAGTTTTATCGAATCCTTATTAAACTTATCTTACAACCTCCTCAAAGAAAGAATCCCGTTACCAGGTGTACGCGACATTTCAACACGTGGAATATCGACAAAGCAATTCTGATGAGCAACCACGAGCCGTAAAATCTTTCGTCGTCGCTTGCGTCATGACAAAAACTGATTCCTTGTATAATCGTTTCATGCTTATGCGCGAATTTGACATATACGTTCACGTTAACCGTGTGGTGTAAACTTGTTAATAAGCATATATTCTATTGTCTTTAATAGGCTACGACACGATGTAATGGATGTATATTAATAGTGACCCGGTTCCGTTGTCGTCAACGTATATTGTCATCAATCCAGAATTCGCATGTATCGTCGCTTATAGTCTCTCGTTTACCTTTCTGGAATATTGATGAGCGTGTACAAACATTGACGGAAGAATTGAGTAATGCGACTTAATTTATATTATCGGTCAGGTCACGATCAGATCATAGTCCGATGGAATATAATTTTTATTAATACTCGACTCACATATTGTCGGTCAGGTTGCGATCAGATCGCGTTACGATCCGGTCAAAAATTACTTCTGCTAAATTCAATGTTTTTTTCATGTTTACATTCACACTGTCATGATCACGGTCAGGTCAAGAGAGAGTCAACAGACAGTCAATAGACGCTCAGGCATGAGGAGGGTAACTCGTCTTTCTTGTTTGAGATAGATTTATATTTACAAAATAATACTTATAAATCTATATATTTATGAATATTTTTAAAATGTTGTCATTCGGTTCAGTCAAGTTCTGAATATGACGTTGCGAATTCTCCTTCCTTCTACTTTCTCAATATCTCGTGTATTCAAAAACGTCTTTTCTTTTAAAATCTTCTTTCAAGATCTTCGTTCAAGACGCTTTGTTCTAAAATTCAAATTTTACTCTTCATTGACTCTCTCACTATAAGATTAGTGTTTAATCAATTCCTCCAAGGAGTGCTATAATAGATAAACAATTTAATTTTTACACACCAATTACTTGAAAAACACTCATTTTTCGCTTACTTCTTTTAAAGCTAACTCGCTATTTTCATATTTTTTTCTAAAATGATACCTTCCTCACTATGTTTCGGTTTAACTGTTCCCAAGCCTGAGATTGTCATGTCCTTTGTCGCGGGTATTGTATGGATATACGAAGAAATGCGAAATCAGACGATGTGCCGCGACTTCTTGAGTCATACGATATATATTGCTTGCTATACGCAACACCCGCGTAACGCGTGCAAGCCGGCCGGCCGCACAAAGTCGCACATTAATGCATGATAGATCTTGAATCACGTCCGTGTCACGGAGAGATCTCGTAACACGCACGATTTACGATCATGCAATACGATCATTGCATGCTTTTTTGTGAAATTGTAATTTTGACTATCTCTTTTGTTACATCACAAACTTATCATATCTATTCATAGATTTGGACTGCTGTGTTGAAGTTACGATTTCGTGAATTTAAAATGACGCAATACAAAAGTGCAATAATAGTCTAATTTGCAAGTGTAGTTTGCAAACGTGGTTTGCACATATATTTACCATAAATTCTACAAGGAAATAACTTGTTAACTGATCGTTAAAACCGGAATGTTTCGGCCGTTTCTTGTGGTCATCTCCAGCCGAAATCTTATAAATTTTCCCCCACCTTTTCGTGAATATTTCAGTATAATATTCATTATGTTACTTATTACGTTTATTTATTTCTTTCCGTCCCGTTCTTTCTACCTATGGTGTTATAATTCCACTAGTTTTGCAATTGAAGAAAACACAGTTTTCGTTTCAGAAAACGCTTTTGTCTACTTACATGCGAAGGAAACATCATATACACGGTCAATTATATCTCTACTTCCATAGTAAATATCGAGAAGCGTTGGAATAACCATATTTTGCTCGAATCGAATTATTACTCGACGGTGGCGCTTTTTTTTTCGGTGCACATCGTGCACGCACTTTACACGTATCGCACGCATGCGTGGTGTGCACGTGCACGTGCCTATGTATGCACGTGTATGCGTGCGCATCTCCGGTGCTAACACGCGGTCATACGAGCCCGGTCGACCAATGCTAGTTCGTATTCACCGGCGTGGCGATTATGTGTATGTGTTCGTACAAAAGAAAAGCCGCGATGAAGGCTGGAAGGAGGACGAGACGGAGGAAACCAATGCGAGAGGGGTATGTACGTGTACGCGACGTGGCACGTGACACATACGCGCGTTACACAGTAATAAACGTTGCGTGATGCCATCGTACGATGCAGCGCATCGTATGATGCAAGGGAATCGGAGAGGCGCGTCCGCGTGATTTGAGCGGCGGATATCATCGGGTCGCCGGTTCTCGCAGGTTCGGTGGCTCTCGTCCCTTCTACCGAGCCGGTTCAACGGAAAACCGGCAAGAAACGGACACGGCGGGCAAGGCCGAGCTAGGTACATATACATGTATATGACAGTCTGGCATACGACACCGTATTGTACGAGCACAAAGTAAAGTAGTCGTCGTCCTGGTAGGCCAGTCGGCGCGAACGCGCGCCGCCGGTCGATAGCATGTGTTGTTGAAGAGCGAAGAGAACGCGTGTTGCGTCCCGACCGTCACCATTCGTCGGCTATAAGTGGCGCGAGTCGTGCCACGCGATCCCATTGGCCCACATCGTCTCAGCTGAGGTTCAGTGCTACTATCGGCCGTTCTCGTACCACATCACGCCTGGGATTCCGGCGGTTTCGATCGTCACCGAGACGTTCCACCTGCGATCACAGACAGTCCGGATGTTAGAGGGAAAAAAGGAAAGAAGGAAAGAGGGGAGGAAAGAGAGAGAGAGAGAGAGGGAGAGAAACGAACAAGACTGATGATACGAAAGTGACGGTCAGTTGGTAGGGGAATCCGTTCTACCGTAGATCTCGAAAGTGCGAAGCGCATCTCGTTCAAGTTCTCACCTATCACGTTTCACAGAGACCGGACACTCTCGATCTTTCGTGGTGGTCGAAATTATCAGGTGAGTTTGCGAGTTCGAAATTTCAGTCGGAAATGGGAGCTCCGATTTGGATTATTCCGATCGCAATTTCTTTCGAATCGTCGTCGGGAGCCGGTGAATTGGAACATTTCGACTGTGGACCGTCCTGTCGAGTTCGGGGGCTTCCTTCTGCACAGAAAGTATGAACTTTGAATTTGGCGGAAAGATACGCGCGATGATTCAAAGTAATCTTCACGCGCTAGCGAAACGTTTTTAATAGCGGTTTTTCCCGAGGAAAAGATATGACTATGTATGTTTTTTTTGTTTGCGATCCGAGGGGAATATTGATTTTGAAAAGGAGACAATAACAAAGGAACGTTGGAGAGCAAAGGTAGGAAAGAGAAAAAAGGATGAAAACGGCAATAACAATTTCATTGGCACTTTTTCTCGCATATTAACATAACATTTTCTATTGAAGAATTTGCGAACGGCAACGTGTTAAATATGAAAAAAAAAAAACAGAAGACACTATATGACGAAACAAAGGACGGTATTCATCAAGATCTTATGTTTAGAACCTTGAGTTCATCTTCACATGCTGTACGGCTCATTTTTCATTGCGAAGGTTACAAAGCATTTGAAGATAAACTTTGGACTCAAATATAAAATCTGGTTATGAATACCGGCAAAAAGAAGGTAACTTTTTCACGTTCTGCGGTTGAACTTCAAACTGTTGCGCGGCTGCTCGATCGCAAATGCAATAAATTACAATAATCCACCGGATATGAAAATCTGTACAGAGTTCTGTTAGAGGAGGTCTTATTCTTTACTAACAAGGTCTCCGTAACGATAATATAAATGTACACATGCGACGTACACCTGTGACATGCGGCGCACGTGCTCGCTGAGTGTACGCGCGATAAGAATAATATTCGAAGTTTGTACCGCGAGAAACGGAATCAGCTATTACGCAAAAATAGATCTCTACTCGATGATACGTCAACGTATATAAATATATAAATAGGTTTTAGAAAGCGAGAAAATCGAAGAGAGAGCGAATAAGACGCGCATCTCTCATCGTGTCACGCAATTAATCTCTCGACTTTGAACTGTAATGTCACATATTCGTGCTATGTAAACATGTGCAATAACCACGTTGTTGGACCCGACGTGGCGACCAATCTCGAAAACGCACGTGAAGTTCAATCGTTGGGACACGTTGCCTACGAACGCGGGAGACGCACACCGCCGCGGGAATAGCTCGACACCGTCTGTGAATTAATATCGTCAATATAAACCACGGTAATTCTATATCCGGGCATGCGGACTATAATTTCTCTCATCGTGATGCGAGTTAGACGGCATCGAGATAATACCGGCGTGAGATGTCGAGAAGAGGTCGCACACTTGTTTTCACTCGTTATCAGGAATGATAAGGGTAATTACATGCCCGTCGCAGATAAATATAAACGATGCTTAACAATTTGACGTTAATTACTCATTAATATATCTCCCGATTCGCGCCGCATTGTTTAAGGAAGATTATTAATTGTAATTCTAACGAAGGTAATTTCAACACGCGCCTTTTCGCTTTCGTGAACTCTGTCTGTTAACACATTGCGTACGACACTCTACTCGCTCAATACGACAATTATATACACATTTATTCGCTAACCATTTGTTTCGAGAATGCGCGAAACTTCGTTACCCTGGTAACGTAACAAGAAAATCTATTTTTAATCCCTTAAGTCATCGATTAAGTCGAAGGAACCTGAAAACGAGATATCTCGTCGCCCGGCGGCAACGTTCGGCTTACTGAAACCGAGATTTCTCGTCACCCGTACGCAATGTGTTAACAAATTAAGCTTGATTGCGAGTGCGCGCGTGCATTAACATAACCTTGCGCAACGCGTGATGTGTTAAACAATTCATGTTACCCGATGAGAAACTGTGGAAAAATTCCATCGATTATACAGGATGAACTTAAATATCTACCTTTGATCTCTCGTAGTCGTAATTTCATACATAACTTTGTAATAATGAATTAACTTAATTAATAGCTAAAATTGATAATATCAACACTTGTCACGCAGACATAATTATTAATATTAAGACTTATTAGGCTTTTAAGAAGTCTAATGAGGTTTCCGGTTGGTATAATGCTAAATTTCAAATGTTCCAGATCCAAAGAATTGGTATTCGTACAGTAATAGCTAAACGGAAGATCGTTACGTTGCTTTGATTCCGTTTGCTCGGCATTGCGACGAAATCGAGCGCAGCGAAGTTCGATCGGGCCGAGTCCACGATTTTAACGATCGTCAGCGCACTCAACAGATAAGAGCGTACGTGTGCGATATTCATGCATCCGCAACGATACTGCGGACGATAAGAGAATTTTTCGGTCAGCAGGGAATCGCGTGATGTCGCGTGTGTCAGAATGAACAATCTCAGGCCGAGCTGCGGTAAGAATCGATCTCGGCGTCACGCGACCTTAGCATTGACCGAGTTCGCTCGAGACAGCTGAATACTTGAGGTCGCGTCCTCAACCTTAGCATAAATTAGTCATTCTTTCAATCAGTCTAGCCGGTTCATTGGTCTTCGAGCTGTGCATACTCGTACGATAACTCGGATGACTCAGGAGACATCACGTTAGATGGATTGTGTGACGGTCCGATGTTCCTGCACAGAGAGAAAGATTTCTTTAGATTTAGTATATTTCCACTTATTTGATTAAAATTTGTTTCACAGAAACAACGTGTACGAAATATCACTTGTTTGAGTAAAAATCTCATTGTCTCATTCAAGAAAACTCTATTATTTGAGAGAAGGAACGCTGTTATTTTGAGATAATATCTTTTAACCGATAAATAATTTAATAAATAAAATATTATAAAATAAAATATTATTTGGTTACAATAAATACACGTAAAATGAAGCAGATAATTTCTTTATGAGAAAATTGTCTTTCGTTCCAAACCAATTTTTTTACTCGAGACAAAGATACGTATTCGTTGAAAAGTCTAACAATCTTATTAATCGGAACATTAGTTTCTCTGCAGCACGCCGATGATGAAATTTCTTTGGATGCGATAAAATTCATTAAATTTGAAGAAATCTTTTTCTCGGTGTATGAGATGTCTATAATAAGGAGATACGCACAGCTGACGTTTTTCGGCGCTGAATAGCTTACGATAAAAGTCCTGTCCTCCCGACGGCTGAATTCGCCATTCGCAAGGTCAGCGATCGCTCGCCTGACCATCCAAAGTTCGCGTCACGTGCGATTCCGAGATAGCAAGGAAGTACCGATGTCGACAATTATTTCAGCGCGGACTAACAATCCCTCTTCCCCCTCGATAACCTGATCTTCCATTCGAGAGGATCAGATCAGCCGATCGTCCGAAGTTCACTCCCTACGAGATTTCGATAATAAGGAAATACTCACGGCTTAAATTGTCAATTAGCTTGAGATAAACATTCTGTCCTCTCCATATTCGGGTTCGCTGTTCGAAAGATCAGCCGATCACTCGACTGACCGTTCAAAGTTCACCTCGCGCACGAGAAACGATAAAAACACGAGAAATTCGATTTTTGACGACTTTTTTGACACGAAATAATCTCGAGTAGCAATTTTACTTCTTAATGACCTTCTGTCCGATCAGCCGATCATTCGACGGGAGATTCAAAGTCCACTTCGCGTGCGATTCCGACATAACAAGTAGACACAAACTTAGAAAACAAATATTCGGCAGTGCCTATTTTTGGTACTGATTTTTCTTCCGTCAATCGAAATCATTCCGGATAGCAATTTGCCTCCTCAACAACCGTTACTCTCCGTTACGAAGAACTAATAAGGAAATACTAATTTGGATGAAATTTTTGTCATTATTAATTTCTTTTACATCGATCTTTCTCTCTTATCGATCGAAGTAATTCCGGACAGCAATGTTCCTCTTTAACGGATCGAATTCCCCGAATTTGGAAAATATTAACGAGCGAACTTGAAGTAACGTCTCGGTGCGAAACGAGACCCGAGATATCTGCGTGTGACCCTCGACGGGAAGTTCACTTTTCCGGTGAACGGGGATCGCCCGTTCCGGAGCCGAGGATCAGCTGATCGCCCGTCCGAAAGTCGTCGCGCAGGCGGCCCCGCGGACAGACGCCGTCGACGACGGCAACGAACCGTGTCGGCGTCCCGGCGTCGCGCGAGTCTGCGCGCCTGGACGTCCGACTGGAGGATCCAACCGGCAGTCGATAGGCAGTCTCTCCAGCAGACCCTTCGAATCCTGCGGCTTCTCTCGACGTTCGCGGGATATAGGCGGATCCTCAGCTCAGGTAGAGGCACCGCAGACGTGACTGTCGACGGAATCGCGACGTCGCTTTTCGAACTAAGCGACCACGACGACGAGGTCACAACTGCAGCCGCGTGTGTGCATGTGTGTCCCTTGGTGCACGTCAGTGTCAGTAACCCTGTCCGCGATCCGGAAACCGCCACAATGGCTATTGTCTCCTGAGAGAACGTCCAATTTCAAGTTCGCCCGAAACCACTCGAATTGATTGATTAGCTGTCGAAGCGTCTCATATTTTCGGCGTGACCGTATTGCCGTTACCGTTATTGCCGATTCTTCGTAGATTCACGTAGATGACACCAGCTGTGTCCTATCTCTTCCTGTTAGGATAGCGGATACGAATTCTTTTCCCCGGCAACGCGGAAACCGTTAAACAAATCGAGGTGGGACTACAAGGTAAACCGGCGGACGCGAATCTTCGCTGCGCGCAGTCTTTCTCTCTCTCTCTCTCTCTTTCTCTCTCTAGTTTACGTCTCTCTTAGCTACCGCTGATGCGGCTACGTCGCGCTATGTCACGTTGGTGAAAGTCTTACAGGTGTTATTTCCTCAGAGTGCGACGTTCAGATTACTCGTTCTTCCACCCCGGGCGCCGCCTGCTGATCAATTAATTAGCGGACGGGCGAATCGGTACGATGTGTGTGTGCGCGCGGCTGCACCATTGACGTAATCCCGCGTAGCCAGACACAGGTAGTTCCTTCTCTCCGCCCAGGTGGCCGATTTTCAGGTCGCGCTACGAAGTTACACCGGGCGTCCAGTGATAGCGAGCCGCCCTCGCTTCCGGTATGCTAATCGTACATTCATTGCGACAGCAATGAAATTCAGTTGACATAACCGAGTTAACGGATTATTCGTAATTAGAGTGGAAATTTCCTATTCTCTCTTCCAAGTATCGAGTACGCAGAAAAAAGTGCTAGATTCAAATCATTATTCCGATACTCCTTGGCAAATTTTTTCTCGGATTAAATAAGCTTCATTTGGGTCAAGTAATATCTTACTTGGGTCACAAAGCAAACGTTATTTGATCCAAGTAAAAATTCGCTAAAATGTATCGGAGTGTAATTATTTATTGGAACCTAGCACTTTTTCCCTACTGTACGTATCTATTTCGTTTCATGCGCAGACAGTGCAAGTTAGTGCAGTTACGAAGAATTTGCAAGTCGCGATATATATATATATATATCTCTAACGCCGGCAGCAATACGAAATGGTGGACTCCCGTGATTCCGAATAGAGAGGAATCTCCGGACACCCCGTCGCTACCCTTCAGCGGACTCTCTCGCGTCCGTCGCTATTGATTTTTCTTTTTATCGATCGCTTCCGCGTCACCGTCGCCGTGCGTTCCTCTCGGAGACGCGAGAGAGCGTCGACAATTACGTTAATTACATCGCGACACGAGCCGCGTTTCAGCAGCATCGGCTGTGCTGATCCACATGCGAATACGATTATCACCCCCGCATCGGCGGCGGCCTCGTCGCGGGTGGCTCTATTCTAGATTTTTATTCTACTTCGGATTTCCCTCTCGACAAATTTCGGCTAATAGTACTGAATTTCGTGACGAGAGAGACGGAAGAGGAAGAATTATCTTCCCTAATATATAATAATGTGATGTCACAAATATAAAGTTATAAATATCAACGTAATGTTTCCAATTCGATTCCACATGTCATACATATAATTTATTACCAAGCCAATACAAAAGTGTTTATTAACACGTTCATTGCCAAGCTGGTCAAATTTTTTTTAATTTTTAAAATTTTTTTATTTAGTTCTTATTGTGCCCAAAATAAGTTAATGTATTATTTATATGCTTTTATTATTATGTATATAGGATTTATGTATTCTAAATATCTATTACGCGATAACGCGTGATCGGCCGTTTGGTGAGAACTCGCGTCACGCGATATCGCGTGATTGGCAATGAACGTGTTAAAGCAGCGAATTAAATTTTCAAATTATTTGCTCCCGCTACGAAGTCATTTTTGTCTTGTACTTATAAACAAACAAAACCATTTCTTGCCAGTATTAGTGTATTGTTAAATCAACAAAAATTTCTCTTAAAAATAAAATACAGCAAAACAATGTGAAATAACGTAATGCGTAAAATCTTTCTTCAATCAACGATAAGTGGTCACTCGTTAAGGTATGCATAACCGATGAATGCATGAATAAGCTGACGAGTCGAGTGGTTGCGCGGAAGTGAATAAATGACAATTAACAGTAACGAGTCGGGAAAGGTGTCCGAAAGCGACTCGTCGAGGTGCCGCCTCGTAGATACCACAGACTGATGAGAATGATTCGCCTTTTCTGTCGGCAGGCTCTCTAAGCAGAAATGGCACCGAATACATCTCTCACACCGACAGGAGTGCTTTTCGAGGGCGAGACCCTGGCCGAGCCGCAACTGATCGACGTATCGAAGGAGAAGCCCAAATATGTCAGACGCATCGTCTGGAGGAACGTCTTGGCTTTCTCGTATCTACACATCGCGAGCCTCTACGGACTGTACCTCGCATTCACATCGGCCAAATGGGCGACCGTCTTTTTCGGTGAGTGGCTGGCGTCACACGATTACGAGTAACGTCGAGAAAACGGGGAATTACACGGGAAAAAAGTATTAGAACCGGGTAAACGTAATTACCTGTTTCTCAGCCTCTCAAGTCAAGTAATATTTTCATGAATTTATAAATATATTTTAACAGCCTGTAGTAAATATTTAAATAGATTAATATCACAATTTGCACATGAATTACCGAACGTAAGTGTAAAATGATTCTAAATTTAAAGGAACGTTTCACCGGAATCATATAATAGTTCTTTCCCATCGAAGAAATTTAGTGTTTTCAAATTTAGATCTTTCTTGAACGGTAGCGCTCTTTACAGTGCACGTACGCACTCAAAATTAGTGTTATCAGTATAGTCAGCGCGAGCGTGGCATGGCAGGCAGCGCACTAGTATATCATGCCAGGGGAGTCCCGGGTTCAATCCCCGGCAGATCCAAAAAAATTTTATCATGCGCTTCGTCGCTCTCCTTTTTCGGTGGTCTAGCAAACCACCAAGAGTATTCCCATGCCACGAAAACTTATCTCTAACTGCCGTTCGGAACCGGCGTAAACTTGTAGGTCCCCCATATGCATGTGTACAATCTGTGTGCGCACTACATGCATATGTAAAGAGAGAGAGAGAAGTAGGCCCAAGCCCCCAACAGAGGGCTGGTAGTGCCAAGAAGAGAGAATGTATAGTCAGTCAGTGTAGTCCGGCTTTTTTAACACGGATAGTAACCAGGACAATAGTTACGAGTGTGTAATACACAACGTTTGTTATTGTCAGAAAAATCAGAGATCACTTGTAATATCTGAAATTAGTCGAAATTAATCAGTTAGCCAGGTAACCGAATAATTCCGAAAGAATCTTGAATTTATACGGAAAAGTCGGTGACGGTGCGCTCGAAGCGAGATTATATAAAACATTTGCATAATATATTAACGAAGAAATTAATAGAATAATTAGAGGTTTATAAATACGTGGTCGGATTTTCCGCAATATTTACATTAATATTAACTACGCGGGATTGCAGAATCTTTTTTACGTAAAAACTCTTTTTGTACGATGAAATTACGTGCGGAAAAGAACTGAAGCGTTCACACACAATAAGCGCAGCATACAATAAGAAACGAAAATTAAAAGTACAAGGAAATATGGAAGAATGTGAAAAAGTAAGAAATCGAAATCTCGATCCGTTGGCGAATGTAAATATGTAATTTCATATTTACATGTTACTTGATACATTTATATGTGTCATCACTCAGTTTCATTCACTCTTTTTTGCATTCGTTATTGTACGAGCACCATGTCGAGACGATCTGGCTACAACGACGATGCTTTCTCTCTCTCTCTCTCTCTCTCTCTCTCTCTCTCTCTCAGGTCGATCTTCGTCGTTCTGTTCGGTTTTGTGCTGACGCGAGGCTCTTAGCGCGTACAATTAGCGAGATGTCAATCAGATTAACAAAGAAATATTCGGCTAACAAAGAAACAGTTTTCCCCTTCCAATTCGATATGCCTAGCATATATATTAAAATATTGATCAATATAGGGGACATGTATTTTTTTATACGTATTCAAAATAGTTCACTTTTAGGGGATGAGACAGCCCTTCGAAAAAATCGTTTTTTCTCCGTTCGAGACGGATATTGTCGAAATTATGAAAAAATAGGAAAAAATGTTAAAAATCGAATGGTTTCAAGAATACTCTACAGTGGTGTTTTTAGATTTTTTTTAAATGTCATAATTTTTTACACACTCCCAACGCGTGTTTTGTAATCTTGTTAATAAAATTAGATATATTCACTTATATAACAAATAATATGTATAAAAATACTGTCAAAATAAGTGAAAAGCAGAGATTTATTATTACTTACGTTGACCACAATATCGAAAAAGTTACGTTAACGCCAACTGGGGTATGCGATACCGCAACACTTTTGGAACGTTTATTATTCTGCCAAGTCTTTATATGACTGGCATCACTCTTTGCACCACAGGTAAGGTTAACCTCAACGGCTCTTAATGGACAAATCAGGTTAGCTAACCTTCAAGACTATAGAAACACCTTGGAGATAAACGGCTGGATATGTCACATCCAGTGTGGCATTTTAAGATTAAATTGTGTTCTTAACGAATTGCGTCACACCAATCTTGTAAACAGCTTTTCTTGTAAACATTTTTTGTATCTTGAACATCTTACACAGCTATTTTAATGTCAGAGCAGTCGGTCAGAGTAGTAGTCAGAGTAATCGATCTTTATTTGAAAAAAAATGTTCTATCTTTTATATTTTCGGTGATATTCACTCCGAAACGGAAGAAATGATCTTTCTCAAAGAGATGTTTCACTCTCTGAATGAATTTCGGCTTGTATACGAAAACATATCCTCTGTTTTCAAAATCAGAAAGAAGACACTCCCGTTGTTTTCTTATAAGATCATGAGACCCGACGAGGGTCTGTCGCGATTCTCCGCTCGCGACCGAGTAATCCCACTCTCGTTTTTACGCGATAGTTTTCCATTAGCAGTCCACGATGTGTGGAAGTCGACGCGAAACAGGCTTCTTCCGTGGTATCAGTTCCGTTTCGGTGATTAGAACGTAGAGTCTCTGACCGGAAGCGCGGTACCTTAACCACGAGTTCATGCTATGTTGCTGTGGTCGTGGTCGATGCCCGTGCATACAACTCGTTCACGACTCCGCGATATATAGAACCCGATGTAGCACAGCCAGGCATTATTTCGAGCTTCTCAGCAGCTGGATATGTCAGCTCCGTTTTTTGCAAATTATTTTTAATATCTTAATTTTCATAGAGAGAGAGAGAGAGAGAGAGCGTACAAATAATATAAATTAATATATATATACCTACTATTGCATCAGCGCCTAGGGAGATATTTTGAAACGAGTTAACGAATCGTATTATTAAGCATTGAAATGTTACATAAAAGAGATGAAAGATGTATGTATGTACAGATGTTTATGTAATTACGAGATATTGTAAAAAATTCACCGCACATTTTCAGCTAGCTTTTATTTTCCCCACCGATTGTGGACGCAGATATAAATTAGCAGATATAAATTAATTTTGAAAAGTTGGCTAAGGTCTTTAAATTACGCAGCTTTTCCGGTAATTTTTGCCGGTAAGCTCCGCCGGTTCCCGGCAGAGAAGCACACGGAGCAAATAAATGAATGCTAATACGTGCTAGTTCTGCATTGCGGCAAATTGTTGTATAATTATACGGTAGAAATATGAGAGTCCTTTAAATTTAACTTTCACATTATATTTATATAGAACGGTGCCGACTTAGAGAATATTTTTTGAAAATGAAACTGGGTGCGCGAACGGTACGATGGTGAAAGTGATTTTCATCGTGGAAAACTTTCTCGAAGGAGAATCGGAAGAATCATTTCGAGGATTATATACGCATTCTACATATTGTATCTATTTATCTATATTTATCTATTTTGTATCTATATTAATTTTATTATTTATTTTACTTCTGTCATAATATTATTATATCTTGTTTTATTATATATTATCTCCGTGATACAATAGAATTTCATCGAAATATTGCTAAAACGGATCAATTTAAATTTCCTAGCAGATGCATCGAGAAGAAGAACTGAAAATAAGGGATTTTATTATCTTTTCTTATTTTCGCCGCGTTCCTCCATTTTCAACACTATTTACCGTCTCCCGAGAGTGAATCACTCGGGGATGGCGAATCAATAGAGACTGATAGCCGTGCAGAAGTCACAACAGCCTAAATCGTACGTAATATCGCGCTTTTTCTCAATTACAGCGATCCTGTTGTATCAGAGCACCGCCTTAGGAATTACAGCCGGTGCTCACAGACTATGGGCGCACAGATCTTACAAGGCCAAGTGGCCGCTCCAGTTGTTCCTCATGATCATGAACACCATAGCTTTCCAGGTAAGTCATCCGATGCATCTCGCTAGTGCGTGTGTATTGCGATTATCGGGTTTCGGGTTTCGACGTAATCGTGAGAAGAACGAACGACTGATTCGCGTCTACGCGCCGCTATTGAAACACTAAGAGCCGCCTCCTCTCTCGTCGAAGGCTCCAATCTCAATCAGCTGGAGTAGTGAGATAAAAGTTCACCAATCGTCTGGACGCTTTCAGTCTTTGATAAGAATTTAACAAGAACAACAAAAATGGACACGACAATTTGCCGGCCCTATTTTTTTTATGCGGTAAGAAACAATCGTGTGTAAGGTTCATCAAGCCGTCCATTACACGAATAAATAAGAGAAGACAATTTTCTAGTTACGATAAAGTGCGAATTGAATTTTTGGGAAGATCTTTGAAAAATTTTGGAAAAATTCCCTGAAAAATGGTTACGCCCAAGTATCGGCAGTAGGCTTGCTTTATAAAACGTCCTGCTTATGTTTATTTTGTTACGTCTGCTTACCTTATTACATTTTTCATGATATGTGGATATTAATATTCGATTCGTAAAGAAATAACGTATATTCTACATATTTATACTGTAACATTTTTATACTATAAAAATATAGCGATTTTTAATTTACAAGTCAACTACGCATTTTCCTCTTATACAACATATGACATATAACATATTACGCAATATACGACATATAACATATAACATATTTATATAATGTTTTTTTATGGTCTTCTTTTGATACTAATTTTCCTGATGTCGTGACCGATTGGTCGATTTTTCTTACAAGCCGAGGCGAAATTATTCCCTCGGTTGACGAGGCGCGTGGTGAAATCGCGCCGATGCTGAACGTCACGCGCGGAAAATGGAAAAATAGCGTGATCGGCGTCCGTGTTGTCGGGAGGAAACGTCCTCCCCTCCGTGAACGCGAGAGCGTGGATGGCGGCGGGTATTGTTCTCCCGGTTGTATCGATCATCGCTATCGCGCGCGCGGGCGAACATTCTCTCGGCGTTTTTGCCTCCGTTGCATTCGGAATCCGGTCAGTCTAATGCGAGGAAGATGCTCAAGAGAAAAAAATGTCATTCACATGATCAGGAAACCTTATTTAAGGGAGTCGTAAAGCTCAGTGTCATATTTGCAGTCGCTTATCGGGAGGGAGCCATTTATAGATTTAGCATTTGTCGAGCAAAATTACGTTTTATATATATTTATCTCATTACCTAAATAATAAATGTTAATTTTAAATGAAGTTGAGATAAATATACATATACAATATTACAAATACGAAAGTATTATTCTTTTTATTTCTCTTATATTAATGTTATATTTATGCATCAGTTGATCTGATAGAGATGCACAAATAATAGTAGTAGGTGAGCAAGTGTTTTAATGTGCGTATATAAATTATTTTGAGTGTTACTATAAGTTATGAATTTTACACAGCTGCATCTACAAGATAAAATGGTCAATAATTTTCACATTTGTGTATGATGTTATATTTTATTGCTTGCAGTGTGAAAAAGTTAAAGGCTATTATAGATTCGGCCTAACAGCGGAGTATGCTTGGTTTCAAAACGGTTTGAGCATCTCTTCTCGATGGTCCAGAAAGGACCCGCTTTCGACAAATAATTTCTTCGCATTACATTTAATAACATTTCGTACAAATTTGCTGTTCAATTTTGAACGAAAATTTTCACTCGACGATTGAGAGTGGAGAATTCACTCCGAATACGAGCGAAAAGTCGTGCGAATTCGAGCGACTCGGTGATCGCTCTCAACTTGTCAAGTGTGACATTTCACTCGAAGAAATTTGGAGTATACCGATGTGAAAAAAGGACAACTTTGTGAACAACACAGGACGCCGCGATCGACTGGGCCAGAGACCACAGGGTTCACCACAAGTTTAGCGAGACCGATGCCGATCCGCATAACGCCAAGAGGGGTTTCTTCTTCTCGCACGTAGGCTGGCTCCTCTGCAGGAAGCATCCGGATGTCAAGGAGAAGGGCAAAGGAATTGACTTGAGTGACCTCGAGAGCGATCCTATTTTGGCTTTCCAGAAAAAGTACGTGTCGCACAGACTTTTAGGTATAAACACAGAAGCGACATTGATTCGGCCGAAAGTCGGTCTCTCTTTTTTCTATAGTGATACTTAAGAATACATGGACACTTAATGATATAACTGAGGAAATAGTGTAATTTATCGGTACATCATGTGCTCTCGGTCGTAGTCTAAGCAAAGATAACTAAGAAAAAATTGCGCTTCGGTTGTATGTATTCGAATCAGCCAGTCAAACCGATTCTGTTCAATGTCGCTTTTCCATTAATATCTAGAACTCTCATGGTATTGGTCGAGAGAGAGAGAGAGAGAGAGAGAGAGAGAAAGATCGCATGATTGAACGAGTAGAATCCGTAGAAAGGATTTCTTTTTTTCAGGTATTACACCTTTCTGATGCCTCTGTTATGTTTCATCATGCCGACCGTAATTCCGGTATTCTTTTGGGACGAGACCTGGTCGAACGCTTACTTCGTACCGACCATCCTCCGCTACACCTTCACGCTAAACATGACGTGGCTGGTGAACTCGGCAGCTCATATGTTCGGCAACAAACCTTACGACAAGTTAGTAGGGCTAGAATTAGATCGTGCGAAGAGCGCTCGTCACTTGAGCTTGTCTGATCGATTACACTCGGGTGGATTTTGTTTGCTCGTTCTTCTCAGGACCTTCATAGCGCACAGAAAGAGTACGAGGAGTAAAACTTAAGCACTAAGCAAAATCGATTGAACATATCTACCTTGATAGCACGATTCATCGGTGACACGTTGGTCCAATATTATTGGACTTCATCGGGCAAATATTGCCGAATATAAAGTCAGCCGTACAGTCAAATTTACAGAAGCAGATTCTATACAGTATCTGTCATAAATTTTGCCGCTTGCCAGCAGAAATATAGCAGGATCTACTGGCAGAACGTGATAACAGATTAATATGAACAAGATAATAGTTAATCACGTTCTGCTAGAAAATCCTGTTACATCCCGGTTAGCAGGTTGTCGGCAAAATTTATCACAGATATCGCGCAACATATGCGAATTTGGTTGTCTGACTGAGTTTACATCGGCCAACATTCGCCCAGTGAATACCAATATAATCGATATTGGACTATTTAACTCCAATGAATTATGGAATCTCGACGTGAGTCCTAAATTCTCGAGTACGACTGGCCGCTTATCGTTCGGGTTTTACTGCTTACACTGTTCTACGTGCCGTTCACTTTATTTGAAGCACCTAGTCTCGCTTCCTCGTCGCTGACTGAGGGGCGTCTCGCGCGTTTTTTATCCTCGGAGGGCGACATGGCGGCATCCGTTTAAAATGTCTCTTCTGCCTCGTCCGGTGTAGATACATCAATCCGTCGGAGAACAAAGGCGTCGCATTGATGACCTTCGGCGAAGGCTGGCACAATTATCACCACGTATTCCCGTGGGACTACAGGGCGTCCGAGTTCGGCTACAGGCTCAACTTCACCACCATGTTTATCGACTTTTGCGCGAAGATCGGCTGGGTATATGACATGAAGAGCGTCTCCGAGGACATGGTGATGAAGCGAGTGGAGAGAACGGGCGACGGCAGCCACGAGCTGTGGGGCTGGGGCGACAAGGACCAGACGCAGGAGGAGAGGGACGAGGCCGTGGTGAAGTACAATTGCACGAAGGATCAGTAGGGCGGTGCGCGTCGTAGGGTGTGCGTCTCTCAGGTAGAACGTAAGAGAAACAAAAAAAAACGCTTCTTATATTTCGTATTCGATGACAAGCGACGACGAGGACCACGGATTTCATTTATTCCGTTTGTGCAGACTCCAAGGCGTTTCTTCTGCGATTGAGGTAGATAAATAGAGAGAGAGACAGAAGGGCTGAGGCGGTTCGACCGAGCTCGTCTTCCGGGACTGTCGACACGTCGACAAGCCGACATGTCGCGTCACTTGATTATCTAGCGGGTTTCACATACACACACGCGCGCGCGCGCGCGTGCACACACACACACACACAATAGGCGCAGGCAAAAATCTTTCTTGATTTGCGAGATAAATTAACCGTGATTAACTATAAGAAAGTATTAAGAAATTTTCCGTTTTTTCTCTTGTACACCGATGGTATTGCCGAGCGAAGTGTACGATCATCTCTTTATTCGCTTAGTTCCTATTTTTCACGTATAATGCGCTAAGTTAGTTCTCGTAAATATCGATTATTAGCTTGACATAATTTATTTGTGCGAAAGAGAAACATTTTGCGTTGCGGAGAAGGAAAGAGGGGTCCGTGGATGCAAAGCAGATTACGAAAGCAGGATACAAAATCTGTATTGTATAACGACACGACTAATTAATAGGCAAGCGTGACCATCGGTCAGAGTATCCTCGCTACGTGATGTTTGCGTACTATATCGACTTGTAGCCAGATTAACGACGTTACCCAGCAAATATCAAGTAAGAGTTTGATATTATTATCACTCGGTGTTTGTTGGGTATCTTCTTTCCGAGACATTTCTTTCCTGTTGTTTTACACAACGCTCGTATCTTTACTTTTCTCCTTTTCTACCACGTTACGTTATGTTTTCTCCCTCTACCCTCCCCCCTGTGAAGAAATACATCTCGAATCATTATCTTATTTCCAACCTTCTGCGAGATCGTATACACACTTGGTCTCCGAACGGTTTGAACGCTTCTCCCTCTCTCTCTTGATGCAGCTTGAAACGCCGAGAATTTCTCGAAATCAAGTCCTCTCATCGGACCATCGGCTGCTCTCCGAGCTGCGAGAGGAAAGTGTTCAAACCGTATCGAAACTAAGTATACAAGCAAGCGTGGTGCACTTCGCGATTCGTCGCAACGGGAGCGCAACGCCCGTCGACGTGACCGGCCAATCGAATCGAACGATACTTCGCGATACTTGTATCGTCACAGCGACTGTTTCTATCTACGAAGCGCCGGTGATCGGAACGCGATAAACCGATGTAACGTGTGCATTTCAATCCTCGAAGGATCATCGCACAAGGTTGCTCGTGTGAACGCAATGTATATGTAATTCTAAGGACTCCTGGGAGGCGAACGTCGACGCGCTCTTTCGAGGGAAGTATCTGTTAAAATAAGATAGAACTGTTCTTTACGATATTGTATAGCCAAAAGGTGTCCGGCCGCTACACATTTTTGCTAATTGGGACATACGTTCGGTTTGGTCACAGTTATATTTAGTTTGATGTGTTGCTTTCAATGATTCGATGATTCAGGTAACAATGATATAATTATCGATCGCACGATTCTGAGTTCGGCAGGTAAATATGCGCGTCGCGATAGACGCCGAGAACGTAAAGTTACACGCTCCTTAGGTTGATAATGATTACCATATGCAGGTAATTATTATTATTACTATGTTAGATTAGACGTTAAGAAACCGCCTAATTGAATATATTACTATATTATACAATGGATTGTCATATGAATGATTAAAATAAAACATTTAATAAAGGTATATTTTTAAGTAAAGAAACATTGCAATTCTCGCGTCTGTTTATTCGACGTCGCAACGCACCTTGTTACGTAATGTATGAACACAATGTCGCGTCGGCTCGGTTGTTGCACTGAAAAAGAAAAACTTAAAAATTTATTTGTGAAATATAAGTATTTATCTCACGGAAACGTTTCTTTGAATACGGCGAGATAAAATTTTATTTATTTCATTATTTTATTTATTAGCGAATAAGCCAATTAACCAGGAAAACTTAGATATATTTCGCGAAAATATATATTCCATCATCACAGTTAAATGTCTTCGTAATCGATAAATATCGAAGGAAATATCACAAGAAATATTTACTTCGCAAAATTTCAATATTTCTTATATCCTCTTACTTGTATCTTCCTTGACCCAAAAACAATTGTTCCCATATTCGAAAGGCACGAATTAATCATTCCTTGAATTTTGTATATAAGTAAACGAAATATATATGACGAGCTGTTGGCGGGTTCGGACGGCTCGGCGCGACCGCCGCGGTCAACTTCGCTCGTTCACCTGGGTACCAGCGCTTCGAAGATGTCCGGTGGCAGTCGGAAGAATTTGTAATAAGTGAAAATACCCCGACAGAAATGTATCACCAGCTGTGATAAATTGGCCAGTGATAAATTAATGTTGCTCGCAAGTTTTATCGCTCATACAAACAACAAAACCATCATTTATCACGTTATCACAATTTGTCGCAGCCGGTAAGCAATTTTCTGTAAGGTCATCTAGTCGAAAACGATATATTGTTCTTTCAACGTAGATTATATTGAAACAAATATAATTGAATCAACTGCAGATATCTGTGACGCTCCGTGAAATGGACGTTTTCATTGAATCAACGATATTTTTTCGCTTTTTCCGGCTTATTTCTTTCCGCGTACATATCGGCATACCAGCACGGTGATTAATCTTTATCGCCGTCCGATACAATATCGCATGATGCGCTCTCATTGTCAATTCGCATAAATGGAGCGAGAATTAGTATCATCTAACGGGAGACGCCAGTAACGGTGGCCGTGCGTTGATTTATCGTTAAATAATTAAATAAATACGCATACATGTGCACACGCGCATACGTGCACATGTGATGTTCTGTGTTCCGGGATTTTTTATTCTTTAGATTCTAATACGCAATTTACAGAGTGATAGGCTTAGGGCTCCTGGATATACTCATCTTGGCTGTTCTTCTTCGATGACGTCAGAAACGAGGAAAATCATGCCAATTTATCTGACGTATCGTGCATATATATAATGCTCGCTTCATTAAAGAAGGACAGCCAAAGTGAGTATCCGGAAGCCTTAAGTGTTTCAAATTGATCTCCCGTGACTTCGCTCATTTAAGGATAGTACACGAGTTTTTGCCTGCAAGCGTCCTCCTCGGACTTCTTCTTCAATTGTTCGAAAGCTTCCTTTATCGGGACCTTCGATACGGCGATCTTCTCGAGAATCTCTCGTATGTCCTTGGTGGTGGTGGTCATCATTTTCTCGATCAACCCCATTTCGTACCACATCTTGATCATAAAAGTGGAGAAGCCTCTCTCGTACGGGCCAAATTCGTCGTTCCTCCAGTCCCAGGGGATAACATAGTGATAATTCGGCCAGTACGATTGCGTCACGAAGAAAACGGAATTATTATCGCTGACGGGGAATCTGAAATAAACGGCCGGTTGTCAGGTTCTCGCCGAGAGAATTCGACTCGCCACCATAGAGAAACAGCCGGGAACAAACCCATTAAGGACGCGGCAGTAACTCAGAAGCCGAAATAAATAAATAATGACCTATTTTCGCTAAGTATCTACATTAAAACTTCACGGTTATATACTACGTTCATTATTATTCCTTCCAAAGAGCTTATTTTGAATACATAAATAATTTTGCAGCAAAACACTCCGTTATTTTAAACAGACGAAACCAATTTTCTAAATCTTAGTCGGAGGTCGCATTGTCATTTCTATTTTTCTTCAACACATTACGCAGTATCGCGACATTTTAACAAGTAACGTCTTAATTAATAAAGATTTCGTAACTTTGGGTCATCGTCCCCTGTACAGGATTTACGGCCGATCTCGTCTCGCCGGAATGTATGAGCGTTATTTTAAAATATCTTCGAGATCGTTAAAAATAATTGTGAGATTTCCTATTGTGGTATTTACCGAAGAACGTGCGATTGTACGATCGAACACGCTACATGTATAGAACTCAGTTGCTTCATCGTCAAACGCGCTACATACAGTGTATACCGTCCCTGTCGATGACGACAGTGGTGTGGCTCTTTGGCATGTGAGCCAGCAGTTTATAGTAATACGAGATATTGTAAAAAGCGGATATTAACCTGTCTCCTTTCTTCAAACCCCAGATGAGTAAGGCGCTGTTCACCAGCCATGCTATGTGCGTCGTTATCATCACTCGTGTTGCGCCGATTACCAATACCGAGTTCACGAAGGACTCACCGCAATACTCCACAGACACGTAAATAGGCAGTAAAAATGTAAGCACGATGAAGAGTATCCAGTAGAATCTGTTTACAAATCACCAATCGTATTATTTGATCGTTCCAATATCACCGGGTGTATCAATACTGCACGGTGAAAATTTTGTATTAAAAACGGCCCGCTGAAATTCTGCGTTATTTTAACACGGAGGGTGTGTTAGAAGGCGCGCAAATATCATGTCAAATCAACATTTTGCCGATACTTTTCAATATACATTTGTGTCCCTCTTAACGACATTCCCTATATTAAAGTAACGCAAAACTTCAGTGGGTCGTTTTAGATACAAATACTTTTATTTATTTATAAAAGATATTATTATTTATAAAAAATCGGAGTGCAGAATGTGAGTGTAGAGTGTACTTTTGTTGCACCCAGACAATCCGATCGGAACCCACATCACGCATGTCGATATTCTTCAGTTGCACGTTAGACGACGTCGATTGGAAATTGCTGAACACGTGGGAGTAAAGGAAACCTTTCCGATGATCGAACGGGTCCTCGTCGGTATTGTGATACTTGTGATGCAATCTGTGCCACAGTACCCAGTCGTACACAGGGCCCTGCGAACGGTTGAATCTATATGAACTGCCTTGATGATTTGCATACAATTACATTCGCTCGTCATACGCGGAAAGGAACTCTCGGTTCCTGCGACCGGACAACAAAACTCAGTGACGAGGAATGATATCTCTCTGTTAAACAACAACAGTCGGTCCAGACAACAAAAGACTAATTGACCGGATAGAAATTTCTTGTAAGAATATCTCTGTTTCGACAACCGAATTTTCGTCCACAGGCAACAGAAAATTTATTTATATATCGATGAAATTATTTTCTCCGCACGCAAAACTAGACCGTTGTGATAATCGTTCGATGAGAATTCGTATATATATATATATAAAGTCTTAAAATAAAGGAACCCTCTAGTTTCCCAGCCTTAGCTACTATTGCCATTTCCGAGATATTTTCTGTTTCATTAATTTATAATTTTTGTCGGCGTATAATTTAGATTTGAATAGGCGCGCGGCCTCCCGCGCAGATGACGCGCGAATGTCGCGACGAAGTTCGATTTTCAGACGGCAAACGTGCAGCGAAGCAAAGGTTAAGTGACTGACTTAATGATGAACTGGCAAATTCTAATACAGGTTAGAAGGTCTGCTCTGTCGGTCGACACGCGTACGAACATCCAAAGGACACACTTACCACGCCTGCCATAGTGTGCGCCAGCACGAGGAAGAATCTCAACTGACTCGCGGCGGTGAACGTCTGATGCGCGTACAGCCTGTGAGCGCCCGCCGTGAGTCCGGTGTAGGAAAATATAACAAGCGCTAAAACTAAAAGCAGCGAGACGACAGTGGATAAAGCGGGGTAAGACTTGAGAAATTGACCGGTCACGGTCGAATTATGGAAGGAAAATTAATTGTGATTGGAAAATTTCTTAAATCTTAACGCCTTAAATTTTCATTGCGGATGCCGCGCTTTACCGGGGAAGCTTTTAGCCTTCAGCTCGGAGCGATAAATTTATTCACGTAATTTCCAGGGAAAAGCGTTTCCAGCGCTGCCAGACGTCGCGCTTCCTAAGATCCGAGCGTTATCGCAACTTTTGGCAGCGCAGAAAACGCCTTTCGTCAGAAATTACGTTACATTTCGTCGCTTAAAGCAAAGCTAAAGGCTTGCCACACGTACTATAAGTCCAGTTTCAAGGGTTCAGATGAGATGAAAGGAATAAGGAACAAGGAATTAAATATAGGTAATTGGGAAGATGAAATTAAATTTCGACATACGAACGATCACACTTCAATCCACGATAAAGGAATAAAGAATCGGGATTAGAAATATTGTCGAAATTCTACTCCGTATAATCCTTGTGCGCTCACAGGGCTCTTAAGTGTTAATGATAATAGTAGAGGTTCATCGGAAAATAGTAAAAATAGTGATCTCGTTCCAAAACGTCCTTTATACTTTATTCTCTACTGCTTTTCTTGCGTTTTAAATTATAGATCGTTCCTAATATCTTATTTTATATCTATAATCTATAATTATCTATAAATATCTATAATTTTTCATAATTCCTCGCTCCCCTTATTCCTGTCATTGTCTGCCTGACCCCTAAGTCTCTCGTTTTCTCACCGCAGCCATCTTGATTAACGACGGCAGAAGCGGGAAAACATAACGCCGAAGACTGTTGAATATATTGAAATATATTGAAATGAAAGGTCAAATGTTAAAAACAAAAGGAACGAAATAAAAGGCCAGTAAGAAAATATTTGTAACCGATTGAATGACTGACATTTATCAAATTTATCAAATATTCCGAAGATCTTCCATTTACTATAGCAATCAATTAAAATAGCCGTGAAATTAACGCGACAAAATCAGGAGAACAGGTAGGCTAAGGGGGGAGGTTGCTCGTGTTAATTTGACGGTTTATCGGCTGTCCGAACAGAAGGAAAGTGTCAGTGGAATATTTGACGATCGATCACGAGTGTCATTTCACCGGACACACCGTTTTACCTGGGAAGAAGCGCGCGCGCGCGCGCGCGAGGGGAAATCAATGGGTACCCCTGGAGATTTGCGATACGTACAATACCACAGTGTGATCCACTTTATCTTGGCTAATAAAACGTACAGCCCGACGAGGCCGAAGATGTGAAGATAGATGTAAAAGAGAATGGTTATCCAGTTTCTCGAGGGCGTATCCGCTTTCCCGCTGTTGGTGTTGCCGCTGCCGCCGTCATTCTGTTCCTTGCTTTCCGTCATGCCGATAGCGTCGTCAGATAGCCGATCACGACTGGCCGCCCTACCGTCGCAAAGAAGCCGCAGGTGTTAATCTCGGGAGGAGGCTCGAGCGGACGAAGGATCGAGGGATTTTACGCGAGTGTCGCACACACTTTTGCCAATTTGCCGGCGTATTTCGAAGCGCCTTCGACTCTGATGTTACAGCGACAGCGGGAAGAAGGAAGACGTTAAAGCGCCGAAACGCACGGCATTGCGGGGGAAGATTAAGTGGGCTATCCAGTGAGTTACTTAGCGATGCGAAATCAGAGAAGTCTCAAACTTCGAGCTCAACTAGCCGTCCACGTCGCGATATCATCGAGTCATCATCGCGTGGATTAGCGGGGAAGCGCAGACGCGGCGGTTTAGCCGACTCGGTCGCTCGGAAACGTAGTCGAGTGATCGAAAACTCAAGCGGGGAGGAAAATGTCTTGCTGGCGCGACAAATTGTTCGTTGCTATGGTGAGGAAGCAAAGAGATTCGTCGAAGAGGAGGAAATGATTCCGCTGTTGCGGCAAAACGTCGTTGCGACGGCGATGAAATTCAGTTGGCGCGATCAACGATTGATACCGTTAACAAATCTTTTCGCTGTCCTAACGAATCGTTTCGCTGTCATTGTGGTAACAAACAGTTCGCTGCGTCAGCAAAAAATCTTTTTCGGCGAATACGTTTAACGCCGTTCGATCGGGCCGAATTTTTTCCCCGCGAGGAGAGACAAGGATTCGAGGAACCGGCGGCGGAAAATAGATACACTACAACTGCAGCTCACCTGAAACGCTCTTCTGGAAGGTCGGAGAGTAACTAGTTTAACAACGGCGACATTAAAAATGCTTCGTCTCACCCGAGCCCGATGAGAACCTCATTACCATCGAAAATAAGCTACGTTCCCCTCATCATTTCCTGTTAGGCGCCGAATTTGCATATAAACTGAATTGTACATTGTAACTGCGAGCATTCTCGAGCATTCTCGAGCGTCATTGCATATGCATCGCGAGCGTGTCGAGCGTACGGTCGATTTTTCGAAAAATTTCCCATATTTTCGGCGCGTCGACTCACACGCGAGATCATCCGGATGAGATGATCACTCGGGGAACCTCGGGGAGCGATTTGCATGTTCACGTCGCGCGAAAAAACTGAGCTTCCAGGTCAGCAAGGTTGCACTATTGCTAGTCCAAATAGAAAGTCACGATGACGTTGCAACAGCAGGAAAATCGAATCATCATCATTGAACAGTGAATTTCCCTTGTCATTCTGACGCCACTGTAATTTTCTATTTCGTCTGGGAGGCACCCCGTGCAAACTGCATTATGGGCTCTGCATAAGTGTCTCCCTTTATTCGACGGGAATAACCGGGAATGCATGAGTGCGAAACGAACACGCAGCAGTACCGTTGGTGGTTTTGCGCGACGACGAAACTCGCTGCTCCCTTCGCTGTTTCCTTTTCCTATCTCGCTCGTGATTTAACGGCTTTTGTCGAAGTAACGTCCGCAACGTTAATCCGGTGCCGTCGCTCCCTACATAGAGAGAAAAAGGTTTCCTTGGATTCGGCATTTCTACTCGCTCGATTAAAATTTGCTTCATAGAAACAACATACACTTTTATACGAAATATTATTCGCTTGAGTGAACAATTTTATCGTCTCATTCGAGAAAACTCGATTATTCGGCAGAAAGAGCGCCGCTATTTGAATATTTTTTAACCGAACAAAATATCATTCGGTTACAATAAATATATGCAAAATGAGACGAATAATTTCTCTGTGGGAAAATTGTCTTTCATTTCGAACGAATTTTTTTTTATTTAAGATAAAGATACATGTTCGTTGAGAAGTCTGACGATCGTATTTATTAATCGAAACATTAGTTCTTTCGGAGCGATGCCAATGATGAAATTTGTTCGGGTGCGATAGAATTTATTAAATTTTGGAGAAATCTTTTTCTCAGTGTGCGCGTATGCGATCGGCTCATGCACGCACACACACACACNCACACACACACACACACACACACACACACACACACACACACACAGAGACCGTCGCAGGCATACGATTACGTAAATAACATTTCTACGTTATTCGCGTTGTCGTTGGTCTACAATACGCGCGCGCAATTCAAATTCGATCGAAACGCGATCAGAATTTTCGTTCTCGCGCGTTCTAAATACCACGTTCTTTTCTCAGGCTATTGTACAACACACACACATACACAGGGTGTCCGGAACTCTTTTTTTTTTCTTCAATAACTCGTGGGCAGGTGGAATGGATCGAACTGAAAGGAAAAAATCGTGACCTCTTTTTGCAAAATTCGCAATAGTAATAGATCAATCAATTGCTCATTAACTATTGCGAATCTTGCAAAATGGTGCATAACTTTTCTGTACTTCAGATTCACCGGGTTCTACCCGCGTATCACGGATACCAAGAAATGTAATCAGACACCAGAGTGTTGCAATTATGTGCCTTTGCAGCGGCAAACCGCTCAATACGTTGATGCAACATCATCACGGATACCGAAATAACTATCGGACACCCTGTATATATGTCGGGAAGAGCAAACTTAAGGCACTCGCAAGTGGACACCTGGATTCGATTACACTTAGTCTGCATTTGGTTGGCGTGGAAGTTTGTGCTCGGTCAATTGGCTCCTTAACGATCTAGTCGACTGTGATCGCAACGACGTCAATTACAACGACGTACGGCTGTTCACACACCACCACATCCTCGCTAATATATTTTCACGTATGATTACATGCCCGACGTACACACATACTCAATGAGACGTTGGAACCGTGTCGCATGATTTCCAAGTTGCGGCTCGGACGACTCATAGGTTACCACATTTCGTATACTTTCTGTTCTTTCTTTTCCGGAGGGGGAGGAAAATCAGAGTCACTCTCGGGAAGATCGGGGCTGCTGGGGATGAGCGAAATTGCACGAATTAGGAACTACGCTCGGTAGATGTTCCATCGAGAACGAGTTAATTGATTAATTTTATTTTGTCGACTGTCGCTCGTGCATCGGAATGCGTCGGAAAGTCATGCGTTTTCGCAACCGGAAGCTGAAAGAGAGAGAAAGGTCTCTCGAGAAACGTGAAGGTTTTTCAGCGAGTAAAGGAAAGCCAGCGGAGCGCGCGGAAACGCGCTCAGCTCTCTCTTTCTCTCTCGCACATATTATCTCTCGCGCAGATATTATCTTCGCTCGGCGAAATTGGTCGACCGTGTTCTCCCAGGCGACGGAGATTTTCGCGATTTTCAACTATCGCACAACTACGAGTGTTGTCAGGCATAACGTTTTATTTGTACACACCTCTGTCGTGCGTATTGCAATGGACTCTCGAGTAAACGCGGATTTACCGATCTTGTGAAACTGTCGTCGCACAGAGAACTGTAATAATGTCTCTCACTTCCGGTTAGGGAAGGATTTCCGGCTCGGACGCGTCATATCCACGTATTTTTGCGTTATGACTGTTGCTTTCGAGAAGAATCGGCAACTCGGTCATCATTAAAAACAACAGTAATGTACATTGTGAATGTATACATTATATTACTGTTACATTTCACGTAACTGGATTGTCGATTTTCCCCGAAAACGGTCATGATACAAAAATGTACAGATACGCCCGAAATAGTCCTAATCGGAAGGCATCATCGGAGTTCTCCGTACGAACCTCGTTTCGTCGCGAAACGAACGATTAATTTCCAATAATCAACCCCCCACAATCAACTCCGTAGTGCTAGATTCGAGAAATGTTAAGCTCCCGCTCGACTTACTAGACGAATCTCCCGCGCGAAATTTTCGAGCGGTCCTCGCGTTACCCGAGGGAATTCTACTCGTAAGTTGTTACGAACTTCGAGGGAATTCTACTCGTAAGTTGTAACTCACGAGTAGAAGCCGAAGAGTCGACCGTGCGCTACCATTTCTCGATTAAAGTATCTCTCAGCTCTCTTTCGTATTCTCTCTTTCTCTCTCTCTCTCACACACACACACACACATACACACACATTCTCTCATTTCCCTTCATAACAATATAAATATAAATTATTTTCCGATACTTCTGTATCCCCCCAATATACACGGAACATTCTCTAATTGGAACACAAAGTGTGCATGTCACGGGGAATGATCTACTACTCCGTGGAGGACTCGAGTGGTTCGCGAGTGCGACGCAGAGAAAACGCCCATCCTCGACGTCCCCGAGGATACCGTCGGCAGGAGCCAACGCCGCGATCACTACACGCTACGAAACGCCGCAATGGCAAGCGGCGCATGGCCTCTCTCTCTCTCTCTCCCTCTCTTATTCTCATTCTTTCTCTCTCACTCGCGCTTCTCCATCATCTTCAGCTCCTGGAGGTCCTCTTTGGTAATGTCGACGTCACCGTAGCCCCAGACGTGGCTGCCGTCGCCGGAACGGCACGCCCTGCGACGGATCATCGCCGGTGAAACGTACTTTCGGTCGTAGGCCCAGCCGATCCGCGCGAACGCGTCGATGAAACCGGTGGTGACGTTGAAGGAATAGTCGCCGAGCTCGCCGGTCTTGTAGTCCCACGGGAACACGTGGTGATAATTGTGCCAGCCTTCGCCGAGCGCCGCGATCGACACCGCGACGTTCTCCACCGGGGAGATGTACCTGCGCACGGGGGGAGGGGGAGAGTTAATCAGCAAGTCGAATTTTTCTTACGGTCGCCGATGACCGATACCGTGATAAACCGCCGTATTTCACTATCGTCATCGAGTCACATGAAGTATAATTAATTAATATCACGCACCGAGCGCTTTCGTTCTTTTTGTGAAAAAGAAGAATTCGTTGTTTTCTTAAATCCTATCTTTTTTCTTTACCCTTCCGGCTTTAAATTCAATTCAAATTTATAATTTAGGTTCTCTTCTTGTTTCTCCAAATTCTCGAATTCTATTTCTTTTTCTATTTTTCTCTGTTCAAATTCTCAGAATCTTGTATTCATCGCGTTTCTGTAATTAATTGCATGTTGGAAAATGGCTTTGCAGCCGACAGAAGGCTAACGAAGCAAAGATGGTAGCAGATGCACGCGCGTCTTGAATTACGTGTGTGTCGTTCGGCCTTCAAGATTCGACACGTACTTATCGTACGGCCGCTGACCCCACATGTGCGCCACGCTGTTGACGAAGAATGCGATGTTCAGTGTCACGCAGAAACGGAGGTTGAAGTTCACCCAAAATGAAATCCACAGCGACTCCGACCAATAATACCAAGGTACCGCTACCGGCAATCCGATGGTTAAGAGCGCGAACAGAGGGATGTACAACCTGAGGGAATAAAACAAAGAATCAAACAACATCGGTATCATCGCTAAGGAATAACGAGACGGCACCCCGTAAAAACCATGAAGCACTTACGTCTTTTGCCACATAACTATGGGATCCGCCTCGAGGTCACTCATGTCGACCACCTGGCGCTTGGAGATCACGTCCGGATGGGGCGTCGTGAACAGCCACCCCACGTGAGCGAACAGGAAACCTCTCTTCGCGTTATGAGGGTCCGCATCGGTCTCGCTGTACTTGTGATGCACCCTGTGGTCCAGCGCCCAGGCGTACACGTGCCTCTGCGGGGGGAGAGGATGTTAGAAAGGAATCGTCTCGGAGTTGAAAATCGTCGAGTCGTCGTTCTCTCGACCAGGATGCTTTCCGCATACGGATTCTGCGCCGGTAGCTGAATTCCGGAAGAATCTCGCCGCTTAAGCGACTTTTCGAGCGGTTTCGAAGAAAATTTCCTTCAGCCCTTAACGAGACGCGAGCAAACGCGAATCTTTGAATGACACTTCTTGTCCGGACGGATCGTTAACTGTTCATTATTAGAGGCTTGCGAGAACCCATCGGATTTTGCCCACAACAATCATTTCACGTCTTGTAACCAGGAATTATTACGTTTACACTCGGCTGAAGATGACCGTATACTATGGTCGAAACGTTCCAATGTGTTATTAATAATTTAAATATAAGCAATTAACGACCGTTTGACTCTTATGGTCGGACGTTTTTCCTGGACGATTTTTATCCCAAAGCCGATTCGCTGATTTTCGAGTCACTTTACGATTAATCCGAATAAATAATAATGGCAGTGGCAGCAGAGGAAGTGTTTTGAGAATTTGGGGTTTACTTACTTGTCCGGTGATCGTGAAGAGGAAGACTAGAAGCAGACGCAGAGGCCATTTCGCCTTGTACGCCCTGTGCGACCATAATCTGTGGGCGCCAGCCGTAATCCCGAAGCCGGATGTATAAATTGTTACGAACGCTGTAACAATAATAGCACACTCATCCGTCAGTATGCATATTCAAGAACGTATAGTACATTCAGATAATCAAAGTGATGCGATACTCCTCAATATTTATTCGGTGGGAGCTAACAACACATTTACTTATACTAATATACATATGTTTATAGTAAGAAACAAATTTTGTCAATTGAGGAAATATACATGTTCTTAAAAAATCTATAGTCAGTTTCTCATGAAAGCAATGGTTTATTCTATTTAAATAAGAGAACTTAGATTCAAGTGAATATGTTATTAGTACCGTCGAACAAATGTTTCTCCATTTGTTAGATGTTTCTTCCCTCGGAACATTCATTATCATTTCTCTACGTTGAAACTTGACGAGGAATTTTAGAATCTCTTAGAAGCTTCAGAATTACTAAATGTTCATCTATTTCTCTCTTGTCTCTTATTCGTTTATCTTTTGTCCCATTTAATCTAATCTTTTCTTAACTTCAATACGTAGTGTATTAATCGTGCAAATCGCGCTCGATTGCAGATAAAGCATGCAATAAGCAAATATTAAATAATTAATATAGGTTAATAATTGGAATTCAAGAGAAACATCAAACCCCGCTTTTTCATTATTCACTTATCATCATTTTTTATTGGCGTCGAAAATTCGATAGGAGACTGGAGATTTAAAAAGAACGAAAACGGCATTGCGAAGCCAAAGATAGCAATATTGATAATAACGTGATTATCGACAGAAATTCAAATTTAGGCTCGGTACAACAATAATTTTCTAAATCGGAGTGAAGAAAGAATAAAGAATGAATAAAAGAGAGAGAGAGAGAGAGAGAGAGAGAGGCAGAGAGAAAAAGAGGAAATATTAAAGGATGAAAAAGCTAAAAGGAACATCGATCGCTTTTATAGGCAGAAATATAGAAATCCGAGACGCCTTATCGCGTTATCGTTATCGCGGTTTACCTTTCCGCTTTATGTATCGTCAAGCATGACGGCGATACCAACTCGAACGTCAATCGAACGCAAGCGCGCGCTTGCGTAATCGGCTTCATTAGTTTGTTTTCCTCTCATAAAAATACGCCTTCGATCTTTCTACTCGTTTTTCACGGTTAACAGTTGCGAAGCGCGCATTATACAACCGTATAATATAAATGCGTGTAAACGCGAATTTATTATTATAGCCGCCGAGGCGCCCGTCGTCCCGGTGCTCAACGTGTGTATTAGCGACGGTGTTCAACGTCGCTTTTACGGCCACATACAGTCAAAATACCGGTTCTCTTTTGATGCGCACTCGAGACGTGGCCAAAACGACGGAGAGATCACGTGAAAATCGTATAAGTCATCGTGAAGAAAAATCGTCGAAAGGAATATACGACGGAATAAAAATCACAGGAAGACGTTCGTTACGTGGTTTCTCACGTTCCAAAGACACGTTAGAAAAAAATAGCGTTTAATAACTTTTGTAGGACGATCGCTCCGAAAGGAACAAACCAGTAAGGGTGGTGGAATTCGTGGAATTTTAGACGCTATAATAAAATAAAAGGAGAGAAAGAATAATATTGTTTTAGGAGTAAACATAAAGTCGCTTCATTTACTACCCAGAATTCCCTAATGTACTTCATACGTAATTTTTCTGAGATATCCTGTCTATTATAATGAACATTAAATTTGGAATTGTTCGATAAGTTCGTGCGGATTTTTACGAAAAATTTAGGACTGATAATTTCATAATCGGGCATAACTTTATTCAATAATGTATTGACTCTTTTTCGATGGCAGGAGCTTAAATAAAAAATCAAGCTGTGCTTATCTATAAAGATAGAGATCGGCTGTGGAAGTTTTAAAAAAAGAAATAAGCAATTTTAAAGCATGAATTTTAAAAAATTAATAAATATAAAGTTTATTTCAATATTTATATGTTATTCACATAAGACTCTCTCCCTCTCTCTCTCTCTCTCTCTCTCTCTCTCTCTCTCTCTCTCTTATATAAACTGATGAGCATTTAACCAACTTAATTATTTGGATTGAAATATTTTGTTCACACAAATGCTTCAAATATTATAAAATGTTATTTTGCTACATAACATTGTGAATAAATCTTGCAAATTATGATTTCACTACTTATGATTCATACGTTGCTCGAATCTATGAAGAATCTTTCGAAACCGGAGGGATGAAAGCAGCTTCTAATCTGACCTGAGGATTCCCGAGGCCAGCCTTCGAAAGGCGAAATGAAGTGTCGCGCGTTGCTCGAATCTAAGCAGGCCTTTCGAAACCGAAAAACCGACTTATCCTAGGAGCTCTGAATTCGCAATCGCGAAGGCGACACGTGGACAGATAAGAAATACATCGATTTGGTTTATCGATACATTAGCTCATGGCCGAGCGTTGCTATTATTATCAGCGGCCGCAAATGACCGCGAAATCACCGGCGCGACCTATATTTTCGCGGCGCTGCGATTATACCGACGCTAACCGATCAGTAACAACAATTTCCGACGTTTTCTCGAATTTCGCGGCTCGTCGCAGCGCAGCGTGCGAGAGGCGCGATCGGGAAGCGACGTTTGCACCAGCGAATTCGTTTTATCGCTGCGCGTCGCGTCGGCGATTAGACCGAGCGAAATCAAACAGCGCACACCTGTGTGTACGTACGTGCGTACGTCGGCAACGCGGAGATGAGAACAGATGATACGGGACTGACTTAGATAAGATAATGATATTAGTCACCGTTTCGGCGTTGCGGTGAGTCCGCGAGCTAGTTGATTCGCGGAACCCTCGCACCGCGTGATGATTCAGCCGCCGGCTCGCGGATAAACACCTACCTACACGCAGCGTAGCGTGCGCTGATTACGTAGCGTCATCTTGTTCCGATGAATCGCACACTTCAAACGTATATTTGAAACGTACGATAATAAGACCTTACCCGGCGTCCCGGGTGTTTCGGACGGGGAAAACAGTCCTCTACTACGACGACGCGATTCCCGAACGGTCGATTCGCGCGGGCCGAATACCAGCACGCTCGCCTACTCCCGCTCGGTTATCCCAAAATTTAAATGAAACGAGATTAATATTGAAAAAAAAATATATAAAATACTTAATACTTAATTTGAGTGGAAAGATATTCAGGTCCGATATGAAATGAATTCGCCGTCCGAATTTAGATTCGCACGCGTCTTGTCAACTCACGATTTGTGACAACAAGCAGTTGGCAACGATCTATAAAGATCTCAAAAGTACACGGATATTATCCAAAAATGCGAGCAAGTATATAACCCACGCGTAAGAAAGAACCAAAAGTGAATTGGTATCTTTCCAATACCGACCCTCTCGCTATCTTTTTGTCTTCTCCTAACATTCGTAGGGCGTGAATATTTGCCATGTAAATTACTTAAAATACCTTCAACCATTTATTCTTCCTCTTCTGGAATGACAATAACAAACCATTAGTAACGTAGTTGCGGAAGTTCCAGTAGAAACGCAACTATAAAAGAACGCAGGATTTAATATAATTCACGCGTAGGAACGAAGCTAATCCACCTTGGCTGCGAATTGCAACTGCAAATTGGTCCGATATCGGACGAATGAATTAACAGGCGAGAGTCGGCACGATTTGATGGAGATATCGTGAGATCTTGGAGGAAAACTCGGAAGAGATCGCTCCACTTACCCCACACTGTCGTGAGCAGCTTCGCCTGCATGAGCGCCAGGTAGATCCCGTACAGGCAGCCGCCGTGTATGAAGATCTGCACGCCGAGGTCCAGCCACTTGATTCGCGGCTCGTACTCGACCATCGTCCTCTCACCTTCCGCGTTCACCGCCGGCTCGTCCTTCCAGTGCGCGTCGGGATCCGCCGATAGTGCGGCGTGACACGCCGGTATCCTCTCCTCGTTCGGCGACATCGTCGACAAGTCGCGTAGGCTGCTCCTCCAGGTGCGATCGGGGACCACCTGCCGTGGTCAATCGTCGATATATTTCAGCTCCGCTCTCTCAGTCGCCGCCTCGCATTTTAAACAGCTGCGTGAGATTGGCCGTGATGCTCGCGATGCGTCACACGATCACGACGTCGAGTAACTTCAGACCGCCCGGCGATCAGCTGAAAGACCACAACGACGATCCGATGAACTATACCTGCAACGATTAATAATTTTGTCTCATTCCTGTGACGATCGGCCGAATCTCACGACGGCACGCGCGCGTGGTTGGGGGATGACAGCTTCACGTCCGGACGTGATATGCTTCCTCAGATCAAAAGAATAAATATGGAGGACACGCGGGTTTATATAAATCGCAAGGTTGTGGCTTGTTAACACGTACATGCGCGTGGCGTGTCAGTCAACCGAGCGTAACCGCGAGAACGCAATTTTCCACGCTACTTTAACAGGCCGCGACAACAGGTGCGACTCTGTGTGTACTCTCGACCCAATACGCCGAGTATATAATTAGTGACGTTTTTTAGGGTTAATATGATACGTCAGTTGAGATGTAACAACAGTTATTCGTATTATTGTTTCGGAAAGGGATATTCCGCCGTTTATCAACCGGCAAAATAGCTTTGATGTTGTTCAGATGCTGTATTAGTTATTATTATGCTATTATTATTATATAATATATTAATTATTATTACATATTTTATTATTATTATTATTATTATTATTACTATTATTATTATGAATTAGTATTATTTCTCGGATATTACCGTAAATTTATCACAATGACAGATTTTGACACATTCTTCCCGCTTTTCCTTTCAGAATGATATATATATGCATTGTAAGGTTAAGTAAAGTTTTATTGTAGATAAATTTCTATCGCGGTTATATAAATCTTTTGGCATTGTTTGTTCAATTAGAACATTTTCCCCCTTTGCATGTATAATAATAATTATATAAATAATATTTCGTGGATTCAACGCCCGAGAGTGTACGGAATACACGTCCCTCGTGAGATGTTGCAGCCATCAGATTGGAAATATATATACAATTATCATCACTCACTCGGAACGATGAAGTTGCAACAATCGTAGAAGCTATTTTTCAAGGCGCAATTGCTGCCGGATTAAGAACATACAGGATTAGGAGACGATGTTCGTCCGCTCATGGTTAATTTTATCCAAACGTCAGACTTTGAGGATAACAATAGAACCGGCCGGCCGACCGATCGATCGATCGATCGACAGGCTCCAACGCGAAAACAATTGGCAATATGATGCGTTCGGTTCTATCGTGTATCGGAGGAGTCGATACACGGTAATAATAAAATTAATGAAATAATGTATTAATAATAATATTAATTGTGTATTAATACTAATATTAGTACTAACAACACTAATAATCTAATTACACATTTGTTGAAACGATTCTGCTGGTGTATCACCGATTAATTAGCACAGGTGAGTCGGTCGTTCGAACTATTTTCAACTCGCTATTAATAAATGAATATTTCATTACTATTCGTTTTCCTAGTAATAGTAAACAGTAATATATAAGTAGTAATATATAAGTTCAATAATATCTCTGTGAGATTATTTCCATCGACATCGATATAAGCTGTGCGCTGATAAATGACATTATTTATTCATAACGTGTCAATGTAGTTTTTTCAAACGAAATCGTTTACCACTTTTTATCTTAAACGATGACCATGATGTTTTTATCACATGTTTTCTTCGTAGTAAGCAGCAAAAAATTTCTTATTTCCACCATTGCAAAAATACACGATCATTATAAAGTCATCGAGTTCTCTTGAAACTTTTTATTTTTCACGTTTCTGCTCTTGGGGAAAATTTGCCCTCCCAATTTCTCGAAGTGAGTCACTCGAAAAGTAGAGTGACAGCCGAATGACATTCCGCGTGTATCGAATGAATATTTCCGCTCGAAATTGAAGAATGAATCCGACATATTCCACTATCACGGAAACAAATTCACTTGAATCGATTGAAACATTCATTCGCATGAAGTCAGAATCCACTCTGATGCTGCGATTCCAAATCAAATTTCTGATTAAATCGTAATGTCTTAAACGGCTCGTGGCTTATAAAGCAATCATAAGAACTTTGCTTTTGAGCACCGATGATACTCGCATACCAATAAGTTTTTTCTTTCCTCTTGAGGGAAAAAAATTGCCATGCACGTTACAGAGGTCATAAAAACGCCGTTTCTTCTTTTGCCGAAGTAACTTTTTGTCTCATCGCTCAAGTAATAAGTGTGAGCATTTTGACAATCTGTTAACTCGTTCAGTCAGCCCATATATTCCGTATTACGTGTTTCTGACATTTCAAGCATTACCCGAGAGAAGAGTAAATATAATTCATGAAAAATGTCCTGAGAAAACAAACAAGCAGACGTGAATGAAAAGGTGCTTGCGAGCGAGCGTGTTTGTTTACGAAAGGTACACACCCTGTATGTATCTCAAGACGTCTCCTTCTCGGGGGAGAGACTTGTGTGTGTTCAGCGAGGAGAAACGCAGCACGGGGGTAATTCCCGATGAAGCGGTTGTTCCGCTCGTAATCACACGCACGCAGGGATATTGGAGGCGCGTTCGGTAATTTCGCGCGCGCCGGGTATAAGAGGGACGCGTGGGCTTTACTTGGATGCCGCTCTCGGAGCAAATGACGACACGTCCATCCTCTCGCATATCTTTGATGACCTAATGCGCGTCGTAGAGCGCGCGTTTCGCCCGCTTTTTCCCGGACAGACGTCGTTTCCCGTTTCATTACACATACGACGGCCCACTTTGCACCGGTGTCATTTGATACGCGTACTGACTCGTAATTTTTTGGCAACTAACTAACCGGTACTTTGTTTCAACGTAATTACGTTTTTTCTCCGTGGATTATATGCACACTCTTTTTTATTAATTTTACGCAGTACGTTTCGCTGCCCTTATCTTTCAGTTGTCAAGCAGATTTCTGCATCACTAATCACTAGCAAAAGTAACAATCCCGTGCGATTTTTATCAGAATAAATAATATCCAATATACAACCCATACACACACACATACGCGCGCGCGCGCATAAACCATGGGCGACCGTCGTCATTCACGTGACTACAAAATACTACGGTGGAAAATATGCACTGGCATTATTTAATTGTGGAAATTGATCCGCGGAATTCAGCAACGGCAACGCGCTCGCCACCTCGGCGGCATCGCGAACGAGCCACGTACGATCGATATTTTCCCACAAAGCCGTCCGCCAGTTTCGAGTATCGCACTCTCGATCTTTGACAATGACGAACGCGCGTGTCTACGACGCGGCTATCGCAACACGCCACTCTATTCTTCCCTTCCCTCCCCTTCAGCTGACTTGCCCTTACGTTGCAATTACGTTATTTGCCAAGCTCATTTAATTGTCCGCGCGTACGTCCGCGTGACTACACAGTGAAACGCCGGGGCTTCGGCCGGCGGAGTTGACACTCCACCGGTGTCTACTGACCTCGATTAATTTTGACAATTGTTGATTTCGATGGTCGAAAAATCAGAATGCAAGTGTACGTTCGCGTTACCACAATCCCCGTCGAAGGTTATTATTTATACAGACTCAGCAAATAACTGTTTCGCTCAAAGATGGGGAAGGATCGCCGAGAGGAAGAAAGAGATCGATCTTACCAAAATTGTAGTCATTTTAGTCATTAATGATATTTCTTGTTGTTCGGAAATAATAACGGTAGCGTATAAAATTGTTATCACTAACACCACAGCAACATTTGTCGTAGAAAAGTAATCTTCCGAAATAAATTCCCCCGATTACACGAATCTTTCATTATGAAGCCACGAATATTCGGTACGATTTTTTCTCACCGCGGAGCGAAACGGTTGCAAAATGTCGTTTCGAGAAATCCGCAGGCACTTTCCGAACGAACCGACGTCGTTTTCGTCCACACAGCCGTCGCTTCTCCGCGTGTGCGTTAATTGTACTAATTGCCGCGTCGAGTGATCGCGCGCTGAACTCGACGAGGGATACGCGTCCGCGCCTACACACCCGGTATATTGTCGTTATACTGGCGCGACGGACGCGCCAGAGAGTGGCGCCACGGATCTTAAGTATAGGGGATGGATTTGAGGTCCTTTCATCAATGGAGATGTTTTCCCGCCCCGATATCCTTCGGGAATCGTCCGTTCTCCTCCTCGCAAAGTGCCTTGCGGGAATTCGCCGAGCCGGTCGGTGCGACGTCCGCGGCGACTTAAGGAGGCCAATTTTCCAAATACCGACACGTCGCGCAACAAAATTGCCCATAATCGCCTCGTAATGCGAAACATCAAAGATCATTCTATTCCCGAGGCTCTACCATTTTTTCATCGACTGATTAGAGATTCGAGGAGGGAAAGATGAACGGCTGAAAAGAAGTAAAGGCGATAACCAATCGATCGCTCGGTGCTTCTCGCTCGAGTACCACTTCTCGCCGATTAATTGGAACAAAAGTCTCACGGGATAACCCGGTATATCTCGGAAATCGACCGTCATATATTTCCTTCACGGCTCGCCCGCCGATCTCGACATCATATCGCACCACACCTGAGCCAGCGAATTTTTTATCAGGCGATAACGACATTCCCCAAGTGTCGGCGGTCAGCGGCGCGGTACACGCGCGGATTGCGCGAGCGTTGCGTCGCGATCTCGACCTGTCTCGTGAATGAATCGATCGCTCGGTGAATCATTATGCAAATTGAAAGATATAATAATCGGCTCTCGTGACTCAGCGCGTATCGGGCCGGCGAAGAAGCGGAGCGACGTAATTCACCGCGTCACTCACCGACGGAGATCGTTCTCCGACTCTCTTCGGCAAACGATATCGCCGAGAGTGTAAACATCGAACGCATTATTGTTTCTACGCGAGTAACGAATAGACCGCGGAGAAAGCGTGAAGAACTCTGCGATCGAAGTCGTCGAAGTTGCCCCGTTCGAATTTTCCGTTCAGCGCGGAAAGCTGATCTTCACTTTTACGCTCGCACTCGATTGCCGCTACTTGAAACTTCCTTCGCGCGGATTATCTTTGCTTTCCAGCCGTTTTCCCGCTCCGCTTCAATTGTTAATTCACTCGGATCTGAACTTAGGATCAGGTCTGGGCTTTCCGATCGAATTAACACGATCCGCACGGTAGAGAGATTATTCCGTAGGTGTGACTGAATT